AGCGAGGCTCCTACGCCATCCCATCAACCTTATAACTGAACGATGTTGTCGATTCCAGTCAAGGGCACATGCCGGGGTTGCGGGCTTCATCCCCAGGAGGCAGCCGATCAATGATCCTCTCTCATCATTGATGTTTCTATCTCCCTCTCCCTCTCCCTTCCTCTCTAAAATCAATAAAAAAATATATTTAAAAAAAAAGAATGATGTTGAAAGAAATGGCGTTATGCAGGACCTGTTTGCTTGTACCCTGTTACACTCTGAGCAGAGGCGGCTAATGGTATCTGGAGTATTCTGCCTGAGGAGATTAAAACTATGTGTCATCCTGTAGAAAGGCTCTGAATTAAATGACTCAATTTCATGTCTGCATGGGGCAACCCTACATGGGGTCCTGGGAGACCGGGTGCCCTGGCAAAGCTGGCAGTGAGTTGAGTGCCTCCTCTGGGCAAAGGTGCCCTTGCTTCCGGCACCGTCGGCCAGAGGAGAGAGGGCCAAGCAAAGAACCAGGGCTCCCTGCGCTCCTGTCTGTGCCCTGTGCTCGGGGATGGAGGCTGGGTGACGGAGGGCGGCAGTCCCTGCGGAAGACAAGTTTCCTTCCTCAGACACGTGCATCAGCCACATGCGAAGATGGACCGGCATTAACCGCTTTATACACTCTCTCAACACTGCACTCTCCGTAAACCCAGCCCAGTTCCTGTGGTGTAGAAGGTCACTTCACAGAGAACGGTGGTTGATTTTTTAAGCCACATGAAACCTCAGGTCCCCAGCACAGTGCGATGGCTGTGGTAGGGGGGACTGAAACCATTATACTTCCCAATACGTGGGTTCACATATTCCTATTATAATAGCTCCGGACAGTTCATGCCAAGTCTCAGGCTCACTGAATGTCTCAGGCACCCAATGAGAACAGACCCCCTCAGGTCCAGCAGAGCTCACCCCTGGCCGCTGCCGGCTCGGGCAGCTCCCCATACACACCTCATCTTGATTTATTTTCGTCTTGACCCCAAGATGCTCTGTTCTATAGCAGCCTGTGTTTGGGTCCATGTTTTCTAAAAAGTTTTAAAATGCTGCTTTTTATACTAAAAAATAGTTCCTTCATATTCGGCTCCAGTGTGAAATAAAGAGGTCTTGATACCGACGGGTAATTAAAGCCACATTCCATTTCTGGCGTTAGCGCTCTAGTGCTGGGTGGCCGGCGGGTCAGCTGGCCTCTGCCACTTCCTCACCGCCCAGGCTGGCTCAGCACGCTCCTCCCTACCTCTCGGGACACGCTCGGGACCAATGAGATAAGGGTCTGGCAGGCACTTGATTTCTTTGGAACCGAAATTATATTTTCATAAGATCATTTTTATCAGCATAAGTACTATGAATATGGGCAAGCATCGGTGCCAAACTCACTGTGGGACAAAGAGATGGCATCTTTTAAAACTGGTGTTTCCAGAGGAGGGAATGTGGTTTGTATCTCTGAGCAGCCCACTCAGAGATTCTGACAGCGCTCCCTGGGAAGAGGGTGTCTCCGGGCGCCCCCCTTTAACAGACTCCTCCCAAAGCCTCCTGCGCCCCATCGGAGAATTACACAGCCCTGGCAGGTAACGTTTACTTAAGAATTCTCCAAGAGCCTGAGTCAAAAACATCCCCCCACCCAGTTTCTGAAATGGAACCAAATTCCATGATAACAACTAACTCACAACAGACATGATAAATTAAGTCAGAGACAGAATATGGTTAAGTAATTTCCCTTGTCGGAGCTGTCTACCCGGGTCCTCAGAGGCTGTTTAAACTTGAAAAATGGATGGTGGAAAGGACCTCGAGACATATGAAAAGTTACTGCCCTGGAGGGAGGGGGGGTGGGGTTCTGGTGCAGCCAAGTTCAGGGAAACTGCGCATTTTACAAAATGACTCAGGAAAGAAAGCAGTTTCCTACTTTTCAGAATGTTTTCTCCTGAATTATCTGCTGACCCGAAATGCTCTGCCAGAGAGGTGTACGAGGGGGACGGCGGCAAGAAAGCCCCCCAGCAGAGGACACAAATTCGAGCGTGTGGAGGGAACACGAGCTTCTCTTTCTCAGGCTCGTGGGTGTGTCCTCTCCAAACCCCAAAGTCTGACTTTAAGCCTCACATGCTGTTTATGCGCGTCCCACGTGCAGATCCAAGAACTGAAGAAGGAACCCGCTGCAATTCTACCATCTGGGGAAGCCCTTTCATCCTTTCTCACACTTTCGAGCCCATGAGGGACCTGTGGTCTCGTGAGGGGTATTAGGAACTAGTGCTATGCCCACTTACAACACCTCAGTCCTGAGTGGCATTCCTTCAGGATGGGTAGGAATCAGGGGAGTGTTTAGCTGGGTGCTGCTGAGTGACAGGCTTTGTCACAGCTTCCCCGGGGCCGGGGGTGGGGGGCGTGGCTGCCTTCACAGAAGTGGGCCTGTTGGGGTCACAGAGCTACACAATGAAGTTCAGAGAAAGCACATTAGATGAGAAAAACAGAAACTGGTGAATTACCTAAAATATTTAATAGGCAGTTCTTTAAAAATTCTAATCCAGGTAGAATGATCAATTTCTGCAAACCTACACTTTTCTCGTAGTGATTTATTCTTCCTCTTCCATTGGTTACAAATAGAATTTGCTGTTAGTGGCATCAGCCCTTAGGATGATGCCTGCTTTTTCTACTGGAGTTGTGCAGGCTCGGTTCCAAGTTCACATAAGCCTATTAAGCCATAACAGATCCGAAGCAGAGCTAGTAATGCGATTCCTAACTCCAGGATAGAGCCTTATTTCTGTGTGTACCCTCCTGTGGACTTGTTGGCCATGCCTCCGGGGACCAGGAATGTACTGGGATGCTAGCACTTGAGTTCTCTATGGTGGGAAGCCACCTCGGGAGCCCTTACTACATCCAGGGAGCATTTCCAGATTCCCACCACACCCATCTATAATAATAAAAAGGTAGTATGCTAATTAGACCGACATCATTTCAGACATCCTTCCTGACGAAGCCGGGGCAGAGGGAAGCCAGCCCAGGTCCCAGGTGCCTGCGGGCGGCCCGAGGGAAGCCAGCTCCGGTCCTGGGTACCTGCTTGGCGGCCGGTGGAGGGAAGCAGCCTAGGTCATGGGTGCCTGCTGGCGGCCGGAGAAGGGAAGCCGGGGTCCCGGGTCCCGGAGGGAAGCTGGTGCCAGCAGCCGGGGAAGGAAGGCCTACTCTTGCACAAATTTTCGTGCATTGGGCCTCTAGTTTATACATAAACCCCATGAAGAGACTAAGTCAGCCTTTCTTCTTGGACCAACCTCCAGAAAAGTCTTAACACATCTTCCAAAAGGCAGAACTTTTTGCATGTATTGATCTCTTTGGCAATGTCATCCAAAAAACTTAAAAAACAACTTTAAACTCACTTCTGATAAACCCAAGCCAGATTCATGAGAATATATGTGGTAAGAAGGTGAATTTGGGGCTGGATGGGCCTAGCGCTGGAGGGGTGATTCTCACCAAGGCAAGGCTGTGCGACAGTCTGAATGAAGGAGCCTTTGCCCTCAACCTGAGCGTCTATTAGCTCCCATAACTATTAAGAATTATTACTACAATTCTTATGTAAACAGAGTATTTAAATTACTCAATCACTTCAATTACTATCTTTTAAAAAAGAAAATAATCAGAATTACTCTAATGAAATGATTCCAGGCTCAAATTTCATTTTCTTAACTCAGCGGCTCTGGGGTGGGGCCGCAGGGAGAGATGCCATTAAGCACTACAAGCTTGAACACGTAATTTATCTTATTCCTCATTATTACTACTGGCAAGCAATATTTGCTGAATTCTCATACTCTGAGCTCGGAGCAAAATAAAACGAGACATTGTTTTTATGCTTCAGTCCTCATATTCTAAGCATTTGAAGTTCCAGGACTTACTATTAAGAGAACTCAAAAAGAATAAAAAGAAACAACTAATTACTCAAACTAGAAGCATTTTGAAAATGAAATCATTGTAGAAAAGTTGTATTTTAGAATATACTTACTTGTGTCTTGGAAATGACATTTAAATACCATCAATTCTTCTGTAAAACTTAGTGAGAAAAGACCGAGGTCTGAGACTGTAAGGATTGCCACCTGAAATAAGCCGCTGTGGGACTCCCTCTCTGCCGCCAACCACTCCCAAATGAAGTGAAGTCAAGGCACTTCCTTCCTGCGCGTGAGCGGGCCCTGGAAGCGTGTTACCAAGAGCTCCTGCATCTCACGACCCAGACGAAGGTCTCACACGAGGAAGCACAGCTCGCACCAGGCAGAGAGAACCCAGGAATTCTGAACCCCTATTCTCTGTCAAATAATTTTTGTTTTAAAATCTCGTTCATGTCTAGGAAAGAGCAGGCAGGTGCTCATCCCAGTTGGAACAGACATGGTCGAGATGAATGTCCCCCACGGGCTTTCCGAGGACACCTGGGCATCGTGTAAGCCCAGGAGCCCAGCTTCTCCTGCCAATTTATTTGGCAGGCGTTTTGATTCCACAAGACAGGATCCTGGGATACTGCAGGCCACCGCTGTGGACTCTGACACAAATCAGATCTATCTTACTGGCGGCCGGCGCAGGCGCGGGCCCAGTCCAGGCGCACTTCCTGTGTCTGGAAGGCGCCTCAGGGCCAAGTGGAGGGAGTCGTGTCCCTGCTTCAACCAGAATAGCTCCACTTTTATGCACCAGGGCTCTGTGTCATATTGTTTTAAAATAACAGGTTCTTCTGCTTAATATAAAATGAAAAAGCTAAACACACTGCCGGGGACACCTGATAGAACAGGCACAGCATTGGGAAGGGCAAGTGATTTGTTTGAATCCTCAGGGTAAACGTCTTCTAACCCTGAATCCCCCAGGCTCCGCCCTGGTACCGGTGCTGGCACCGCTCTCAGCACAGAGCAGCTGTTTGAAATGTTGATGACAACTGTCACTTACAGACAGAACGAGGCTACTTCCCGTCAGACCAGACCGCTGCACTCGCGTCCCAGTGCAGGCTGGCTGCAGCGTACCTTATCGCTGTCCAGTGTGTTCTGCGACGTCCGGGAGGCGATCGAGATCGTGTCGGGCTGGCTGCTGCCGTCGCCTTGGCTGTCCAGATCCTCTCCGTCCCTGGAGACACAGGACATTTTAAATTCCTGACTCTGCTGGCTTTGTGTTCTAGACTGGTCAGGCTCGTCCATCGGTCATTGGAGAAAGAATGGCTACGTTTCAAGGGGTGCAAGTCAGTCTTCGTGACTGCTGCTACTTCCCCTGTGTTAACTCGGATTTGATACCTCTGTGCTAAGCACAGGCTTTCTGCAGGCATTGGGCTAAGTATCTAACATAGATCATTCCATTTAATTCACATAATAAAAAACAGAGTTGACATGATTATTTCCAGAAACGTGTAGATTTGCACACGTGCCCGGACGGACTCACCACTGGGTGGGAAAGGCAAAGTGGCCGGAGATTCGCACACAGCCCTGCAAATACTTTAAGCGGAAGCAGGGTCTTGTCTTGACGAAGCAATTTCATTGCTAAGAATAAACTATGTTCAAAACCCTTTTCCTCCAAATGTCTGAGAAAAACGATTTTTGAAAAATATTACGTTAACACTGCCTTGTTCCTTCCCTATTAAATAAACAAGCTTAGCCAAACCTCCCGCGCACACTCACCGCCTGCCCTTGTGCCGCGCGGCCGGGGCTGTCTTGGGGATGTGAATGGGCTCCTTCAGGGCGCCTTTCAGGTGGATGGTCCTCTCCTGGATCACCTCCCGGATGTGCTTTATCCAGTCCTGCTTGTTTTCGATGCTGGAAGCCTGAACCGGTGCGAGAACCCGTCAGATCCTGCCCCAACCACGCAGGCCTCGCATCGCTGGAGCTTCCCATTTTAAACATCACTTTCCAGCAGGAAAGCAGCCCATCCTATGTTTAATATGCCACCAAACAAATGACCCTAGTTTTGAACGTTTTTAAATCAAAACCATTTTTATTTTATAGCACTTATGTTATTCCACATCAATGGATATTCTAATCACCGATCGTTCCCTGGCCCGGGAAGCCAGCCTAAACCAAAGCTGCTCTGAGGCAACTCAGGTCAAGAGGAGTGGTCAGTGGCTGGCAAAGTGTCCATGGACCCTGAACCTCAGGTCATGCTGCCCGTCACAGGACTCATCGGACAGCAGCTGCAGCCGCCACATTTCCACAAGCACGAGTGTCCTCGGGCTCCCTTACCCTCGTGTGAAACGAGGGACTGTGGCGTGGACACAGCGAAGAGCCGGTCCCACCGCCAGCAGGTGAGGCTGCAGTTCCCAGCGCACAGGACAGAGCCTGCCCCAGCTCTGCACTCACCGGCCCCTAGCTGTAAGTGGGAATAAACCGCTAAATAAACGAGTGTATCCTACTGCCAGTTCCACGTGGTGGATTGACCTGGACTTTATTATGCCCGTGGAGAAAGGTTCTCTGGACATGGCACGGGGTAGGCCCTCAGCAAGCATTTGTTGAGTGAACACACATGGCGTGACTTCGCCCAGGTTTTTTCTCTCACTGTGCCTCAAAGAGGGCGCTTTGTGTTCCCTTTTTACAGGTCCTGGGCCTTAGTAACAGTTTTAATTTCCTTATGGAAAACATCAACCTCCTATGATATAAACATGATTCCCTGTAAATGATTAAAACAATCGTCAGTGGGATTGTAGATGAGATCACAAAGGGAGGGGAACCCACCATGTCCTCATGGTGGGCCTTGTTTTGAAACTAGAAAGCCAAAGCCCATGGTGGGAAAGGAAATTAAAATTGAGAATTCTCTAAATAAAATGCTTTAACTGGAGGATATGGCTTTAAAGTTATTGAGGGACAGTAATGAACAAATAAAGGATAAAAGGGGCCTCTTGCTCCCATTCCGGAATCTGATGCCAGGAGAGCAGTCACGCTGACTTTGGGGTCGGAGCAGCGTGATTAGGGAGCAGGGGAGTTTGTGCATGAAATAAGCGTCTCAGGGTGGAAAATGTGAACACACAGACCTACTGGAATTTAAATGCCTGGTACAAATGTTCAGAGACTACACAAAGAGAAGTATCTGAGGAAGAACATCTGGCCAAGTCTTGAGACAAATCAGGAAAACTGTTACTATGGTTCAGAAATAAAGAAAATTCTCATGATATAAAGCGAATTTATCATTACATTTATAGAGGCTAATCCTCCTAGTAGTCTCAATCCATTTAAGGAAGGATTTAGAAATAGAATTCTCCCTTGCAGACTATAAAAGTTAAAAAAAAGACCACATTTTGTTTTACAACTACCAGGCCATCAGCATCATTGCCATGACAACTATGACGGTGACCACCTCCATCACCACCACATTCCACTACCACCACCACCAAAACATTTTCTCAACCATCACATCACTCACACTTATCTCTACCACCATTTATACCATCACCATCTCCACCGCTGCCACCACCACCATCTCCTCCACCACCACCACCACCATCTCCACCATCGCCATCACCATCTCCACCACCACCACCACCTCACCATCTCTACTACCGCTGCCACCATCTTCACTACCATCACCACCACCACCGCCACCATCAACGCTACCATCTCCACCACCATTTATACCATCACCATCTCCACCACCATCTCCACCACCACCACCATCTCTACTACCGCCGCCACCATCTTCACTACCATCACCACCACCACCGCCACCATCAATGCTACCATCTCCACCACCATCATTTCCATCCACCACTATCTCTACCACCACCACCACCTCCACCACCACCACCACCACCACCACCACCACCATCACCACCATCACCATCTCCATTGCCACCACCTCGATATCCACTGTCATCACCATTCACACCAGTGTCATCACCACAAAGCAATCTCTAAAATTAATGAGAACATCATTTCGTTTAGTCTCTTCTTGGAAGTCAGAAAAATATTACTCAAAACTCCCTAGAAAACTGTCATCTGGTAAAGCCCACAGGAAGTCTTTTGTTCAACTGCATCATGAGTATTTTATTATGTCCCAAATGAAAGTAATCCATAACTGGCTAAAATATCTGGCACTATTTCTTAGATACACCCTTTGGCATATGTTCACTGCAGCTAATCTGGATAAACACTTAATATAAGTTGGAAGTTTTAACGTCTTGAGGATACTTTAAAATTTTATGCCTTAGAAAAGTTCAGTTATCTAATATTTAGCTAACAGTGCAATTTATGTTTTATAGGGCTTTCTGCCAGTACTAACAAGAAAACACTGGGTTGGTAATCATACATTCATTGCAAAACAATTCCTCATTTCTATGTGAGTAAACACCTTAAAACGCAATGGTGTAACAGTTAGCAGCTCTATAAGAGTGACACGCTGCTGAATAACCTGGGGTTGCTGGAAATACCATAGAGATTCAAAGGAATGTGGCAAAATCGCTGACATGCAAGTTCACACACCAGAGGCCCATTAAGCTTTTGGCTCGTTTCCCAATATCCTACAAATCATTGTCTACATCTTCCCCAGAACATCCTTAAGTCAATTATGGTCTTTCCAGACAGCTCAAACAGACAGTTCCATCTGTATTTTCTCAAACACAGAAGGAGGGAAGTACATTAAGACACCCTTAGAGCCCTTTGCCATTCTTAGGAGAGGGTAGTGTATTCAAGACAGAGTTCAAATCAAATATTCAAAGATACTTTCCTCCCCCAAACACTAGATACCTCAAAGTACCCTTAGTGTCTTTTAAACACTTTAAATCAAAACATGACATAAAACCCATGTAGCTGATCACTATCCCCCCTTTTCTCTGCCCCCAAACTAGAAAGCCAAAGAGCCCAAGACCCCATGGAGACGGCTGGCATGCTCAGCCTTGAAACTGTCCAAGGCCGTCACACTCCACCAGGTGCCCCCTTTCCTCTAACCACAGGTCAAGTGTGCATGGAAGCTGTGGGCCCATCTCCCTGTCCTCCTGGGCCTGAACTTCCTGCATCTCTCAGGGAATGAACAATTCTTTTCAAAGTACGGGAAGTACGGGAAAAGTTTGAAGACTTGCTCCATTTGATTTGAGTAAGCAAGCAAAAGTTTAGCTCACGTTATTTCATCCCTGGAATACCAAAATGAATTTATTCTACTGTTCTTGTGGTAATCACTAATCCCAACAGAACATAAAAGTAACACATAAAGTGATATGAAAACCAACAGTTTCAACCATAGGAAAAAATAAAGCATTCATTGGCACAATAATAAACATGTCACAGAGCATATCCCCAAGCTTCCCATGGACCTACCTTAAGGACAATTTTATTATCTGAAGTTGGCGTCCTCCCGACCCACAGTGCAAATTTGCAGGGATCTCCTTCAACATGTTCTGTGACACCCAACTCTGAGGTCTGCGTAAAAGACAATGATATAATTAGATGAGAGTACAATTCAGAGACCATGTGGTCATGCTAGGTTATAACAACGTAGTTTGTTAACTTTAATAAGTAATCCTTAGCCCTCACTTTAGTGAAAATAAGGAAATTTTGTTCTTAGGCTACAAACGACTGGACTGGTTTCATCTTTTTCATATCCTGTGAGCACCGTTACTGGAGATTCTGATGCAAGTCCACAAGCAAGTCCAGAGGGAAAAAAGCAAAGTATCTGAAACCTTATTATCTGGAAGATCAAGAGTTGACTCATTTCAACCTTATAAATAACAAAATGCGTTTGTTCTGGTTGTGAAAGAGCTGTCACTCCCATTTTCCGCATGAATGAAGTACCTTCATGGAGGGCAAATGGTGTTTTAACAGCTCAGTTATTTTCCAATTTGTTTATCAATCGCATAAACTTTTAGTATTTCACCAATAATTTTAAGGGCTAAGGACAAAATTGCTCTCTGTAATATATGTAGGTGTAATATGCGGAACACGGAAGAGTGCAGATGAAGGTCAACACCTTCAACCCCACCACATCATGTTCCCCCCTAACTCATTCTTCCGCCTCCAGCGAAGGAAGTGATTCATAACCCAGAGCGATTCATAGCGCAGAGGGGCCTCTGAGGGAACCTCAACTTTTAAAAGATAAATTAAGTGAAGATGTATCAGCTTCTAAAACAGACCAGCTTGGTCTCTGAGGCTAGATTAGAGCCAGCTAGTGAGATTACTAGCCAGCAATGCTGCATTTTTTCTTTCCAGTTAGAATATGATCTAAAATGATGTAAGGTGGCTGTGATCCAAAAGACAATCTCAAACAGGATGTCAGCCAAAGGAAAGGGTATGAAAACCATTAGCTTGAACTTGCAAATTCCAGATTATTATTCAGATGCTCTCTACACTTGGTAGTATTTTATTACTTTGGGAATTTGATTAACATATGGATACCATAAAAACATGTAACGAATAAAATACAAATTATCCAAATTCCAAATATCTATCAATATTTATAAGCAATCTGCCATACCTTGTATAAATAAACCAAATCCTAATGCATTTTCTATTCTTTCTCTGATGGTGATTTTTCCTTAGTTTTCCCCAATCCTCCCACTGCCTGAGCCTGCCCAGCAATTTTTTGATGACAGTCCTCTGAGATATTGCTACTAAGGGAAGAAGGAAATACAGTGGACCCTGGGGACGACGTGTGCCTGAGACTTTTCTGAGTTGACATGTGATTTTATAGAGAGACTGGTTGGACGTGCTCCGAATGGAAAAAAGGCACCAGGTGTGTTTCTCTTGCCAGGAAGTACAATGACAAGTAAGGATTCAAATGCATCACTGTATCTGCCAAGCACTCAAGGGCAGCTGTCTCTAAATAGGTGGGATTGTGGGTCTTTAAAACGATTTTTGCTTACATATATTTTTCTCCAATAATCATATTTTGCTATTGTAAAACCCATATATTTATTTAAATTTATTTTTAATGAAAATATATCAAATTTTGTCATTAAGATCCCACAGTGAGCCACCCTGTAAGGCCCCAATCCTCCCACTGCCTGAGCCTGCCCAGCAATTTTTTGATGACAGTCCTCTGAGATATTGCTACTAAGGGAAGAAGGAAATACAGTGGACCCTGGGGACGACGTGTGCCTGAGACTTTTCTGAGTTGACATGTGATTTTATAGAGAGACTGGTTGGACGTGCTCCGAATGGAAAAAAGGCACCAGGTGTGTTTCTCTTGCCAGGAAGTACAATGACAAGTAAGGATTCAAATGCATCACTGTATCTGCCAAGCACTCAAGGGCAGCTGTCTCTAAATAGGTGGGATTGTGGGTCTTTAAAACGATTTTTGCTTACATATATTTTTCTCCAATAATCATATTTTGCTATTGTAAAACCCATATATTTATTTTAAATTTATTTTTAATGAAAATATATCAAATTTTGTCATTAAGATCCCACAGTGAGCCACCCTGTAAGGCTGCATAAGTATGTTCCAATGTTGGTGAATGAAAAATTAATTACAATGATATGAGAACTGCACAAAATCATAGTGAGATATAATCATTTTGTGTATTTATAAAACTAGTTAAGGTACACGAAAGGCAAATGATTTAAATTCACTTACAAAGTGTGTTCTTATCCTGTAGCTAGAGTCCACGGAATTTAGAAAAAGCAAGTCTCCTAAAGTCTAAGAAAACTCAAACTCAGGAGCGCCCTCTAGTGGACTCATAGCTGTCAAAGAATTTCACTGAAGATGAAATCATGACAATTTTGGACTTTCCACATTTTAGGATAACCTGAAGGCAACAAAGAGTAATTTTTCTCTACCTACAAAAATGTTGCAATTGTGTTACCTTTAAACTTAAAATTCTGAATGCCAATACTTACAAACAATTTGCTTTTATAAAGGTACTTGCTTCTCCCACTGGAATCTTTCACTTCTTTACTAAATACTAAGGACATTTCAAAAAGGAAGAGATGCCGTTCTCGACCCTTTCGAATTAAGGTTTTTGGGTCCCACACTTGGAAGGATTCCTGCAGGATGAGTTCTCCCTGAGACTCGATATTTTCATCAAACCCTACAACATAAAAAGGAGGCACAATCAATTTAAAATAAAAAGGATAGCATTATGATTATTAAACATTTGTAAAATGCCCATCAATTAAATCTCAGATTAGCATTTCCATTTGGGCCCCTGACTCCTGCCTCCCCAGCACTGGCCCATCCAAGAAAGGCTAATTCTTCCTGAAACAAGACTTTAATACATTTTTTGTGTTTTTTTTTGTTTGTTTGTTTTTTGTTTTTTTAAAGCAGGGATTCCTCTTGGCTTTATTCCTTATGTTCTAGCTCCTTAGGGTGGCATTCTCACCAGCTGAGAATACCATGCCTCGTCACCTGCACTCCCAACACTCCTCGTACAGACCTCCTCCGCCCAGAATGATTCCCTGACATTCCCAGCCCGCGTCTTGATCTGCTGCTTCCTCGGCCTAGAACACCCTTCCAGGACATTCCTCAGCAGTCCCGGACTTTCCACAAGGCCGTCTAGCCTTCCTTCTGGGTACTCATCTCTCTGGAGTTTGCCCTCTGCATGCAAACTTCTTCATGCGTATCAGTCATGCTCTGGCCACTGGCTGGCTTTCACTAATGAATGCTCATCTCTTCATGGAAGGGACCCGCTGCCTGGACTCTAAGATTCCTGGGGCAGGTGGGGACTGCTAATTGTCTCCCAACTTCCACTTCCCCCCTCTTCCCTAATAGCAGAAGCCCCCTCCATGTCGCTCAAATGAGCACTCCATTTCCCAGCATCCTCTGCAGCTTGGGGAGACCCGCACCTACAGGCCGCATAGGGAGAGTCACATGTATGACGTCTAGCTGCTCCCTGCCCCACCCCACCCCCCACTTCCTGCCCAATGCAAGGTTAACACAGTCTCTAGACACATCCTGAGCTGAGCCAGCCAGGCAACATCCGAGGCGTGGAGAGAAACGAGCAGGAGCAGAGCCCGAGTCCTTGGCGTCAGGAAGGGGTGCCACGCCAGCTCCGCATTTTACACCAGAGAAAGAGAAAGCCATGCCGCTTGGCCTTGATTGTTGGTCTCTGTGATCAAGAGCAGCACCTTTGCCCTAACTAGTGTACTGCTCAGTGCTACCCGCAATAATGACACACGCAGGCCAGCTGCGCTTCTTGTAAACGTGTGTAACCTGAGAGTAAGAGTTAAGCTCTGGAACACAGAATCGCCTTCTTAAACAGAAGCATTCACAGAAATTATAATGGCAACATTTTAAAGTGTATTTATCTGATTCTCTACCGTGTTATATACCACATTCACCTGCATAAGCAGTTGTGTGGTACTCGCTACGTGTTCCAGGCTCAGGCAAGTGATGCAATGGATGCAGAGATGGGGAAGCAACAAGCCCCTTTAAGGATTTTCTCATCTTAGGGGACTGATCTATCCGAACCCATCACCTAACAGAGACCAGGCAGGTGAAGGCCAGCAACACGAAGCTCAGAGTGGGGAGAGGCCACTCCCAGTAATGGGACAGGGACAGGTGGTTAGGTGGAAGCATTTCACATGATCTTTAAGGGAGGCAATGAAACCAATTCTTTAAAAAAGAAGACATTCACATCTAGACTCTTACTCCTAAGTAAACACAGAGGCATGAAGCCAAGGTTTTCAGGGAAAGGGAAATCCATTCACAGGCGTCAGCAGGAAGCGCACACAGGTGTGGGGCGTCCGGTACCTTCCAGCATGCTGAGGTGCATGGCGTCGTTGGCTCGCTTGGGCACGCTGAGCATCACCTCCAGGCCGTCTTTGATCTCCCCTTTGCCTTCCTCACAGCACGTGAGGAGCTCCTGCAGAAGACCAAGACCATGAACTAGCGAAGACTGCGACATGCTCTACCACCAAGATCTTTGTAGAAATGAAAGAGCTTTGATTTTTTTTATTGATTTTTTTTTTTACAGAGAGGAAGGGAGAGGGATAGAGAGTTAGAAACATCAATGAGAGAGAAACATCGATCAGCTGCCTCCTGCACACCCCCTTACTGGGGATGTGCCCGCAACCAAGAGCTTTGATTTTTAAGATAAAAAAACAGACTGTGGTCTCCTGGGCATATAGTCTCACAGGAAACGAATTATTGTCTTTGTGTCCAATGGACAGACAGGTCTGTCCTGCTCAATCAGGACATTTCTTCACATCAGAGAAACCAGGGGGAGTCATAAGTTAAGATAAAATTAGTGTACATGTCAACTACCAAGCCCCAAAAATGACAAATAAAAATATTTAATTAGGAGAGCAGAGCAGTCAGCTACTGGTGTGGCTGAAGGTCATGCCAGGGTCCTGTCAGTACCACTGAGCTTCCACAGGGCCCAGCATGACTCTGAGCCTCTGGTGCCATGAATGCAGGGCCATCGAACCTGGAACTGCACAGCATGCGGCAGGAGCAGTGATGCTGTAGGAACACCGATGGTGCAACACCCTCTGCCTGTAGGATGTTTAGAAGCTCCCATGATTGCATCACACTCCCTGGGAGTGATTATGTCGCGGATCTCCGGGTCACCATCATTGATGAATGATAGCAAGGACAGCAAATTCTGACTCCTCTGGTATCCAAGACACCTCGCCTGTACACTAATGACTACTGGTCAGGCAGTGCCACAGCAACAGCGCTCTGGGTCCCAGGACTCAACAGAGGGACATGACAGTGAGGTCAGCTCTGGCCTCACACCCAAAGGTCTGGAGCAACTGAGCTACGGACAAGCACCTTCACTCACGACCAGATGGCGTTTACCTATGAATCTGAGCAGCATGGCAAAGAGGGCTTCCATGCACGGAGGCCAGCTGCACTGGCAGGAGCTCCTGGCTGGGGATCAACACCGCTTACTCCTATTCTCCAGAAGGACCCTCCGCAGAATCAGGGAGGGTTATGAGTTCCAGCCCCAGCCAGTGAGTGACCAGACATGAGGTCACTAAGGAACGGTCTGTAGAGAGCCACGGGCTAAAACAAAGTCCTTCAATCCTGAGGGCGCCAGAGGTGACCGCCTTTGCGGAATTAGGAAGCGAAGAGCAAATGTTAAGATAAACAGCTTAGCCTCCCGGCTTCCACTGTGCAGTTTCAGCCCACAAGTCTCTGCAGGGACAGGACAGTCAGTCCCTCAGGGAGATCCTGATGCTGAGGGGCAAGGGAGCTGCTCCGACAGAAAGTTCCAGAAGGGAACCACAAGGAAGGCAGCCACTTCCTAACTATTTCTCCATTTTTTCTTACCAATAAAGAGAGTACAGAAGAGTTTCAGGTATTCATAACTCCCCCTTCTGAATGTCATTATCGCCTCCTATTATTGTGCTAGGACTGAACTGGGGACACAGGTTCATAAGATACTGTTCCTGGGATGAATGACTGGTACATTCTAATGTTTAATTACTAACATTCACAAGCCAATGAAATGGCAGGGTAAACACCATTAGATGGAGGCTGTAGATTATTTTTCTTGTAGTCAAGAAAATATGTGTCAATTACATATAGAATGCACTCTGAGACATTCTTACCACAAATTCTAAGTTTTCTTTACCATCCAATTGCCAAGACTAATAGTTATTAGATTTTTACAAGTGTGACTTTAGTTATAATCATTCGTAACCAAGAAAAAGCAGGTCAGTGTGACTCAAATACTTGTGATTTGTACGAACAAACTGTATACATTTGTGTGCGACAAATGACGAGACCAGAGGGTAGTGCTTCTGGGTTCAGGGGAAACCTGGGCACCAGCCTGGCCTGAGTGCAGAGCCACGCCCACGTGGTGGGGACCAGTGAGGACTGGGGGCACGCCCCACCCTAAGGCCAGGGCCCACCTGCAGCCAGCACTATGTGAGGTTGGCTTCATCTATGCAAAGCGTACAGCACAGTGCCTGGTCCGAAGTCAGCAGCCATACTAGGAGCCATGGTATAGATTTTCAGGACTGACAATTTCTCTTTCCTTTCTCATTCTGTGTTACTGACGAGGGTTGGTCAGTGACGTTTAGGGGCATAACTGAGGCATATACTCTTATTTACCTGCTGCACTGAGAGATTGGTCAGGGAAATAAATGGCAATGAATTAAAACAAAACAAAACAAAACATGCTAGGCGTCATTTTTAAAATTCAGGGAACTTTACAGATAAAGAAAAAAGTCACAATAGCAATGTACCAATCATACACTTTGCAGGCTGAGGATGTGTCATACGTACTTTTAAAAGGAGCTGGTACTTGGTTATGCGCTGCACTGGTTTAATAAGGTAGGAGGAGATGGAATTGGCTAACCCGTGCCGCTGCTGGATCTCCTGAATTAAAGAAAAGTTATATAAATAAGTAAATACAGACACCACTGGGCAAGTTAGACAGCACCGACTCAGTTTACATTTCTATATCCCCACAATGAATATACACACATTATTTTTCTGTAAATGTAAAGCAGAAATCACTGATTATTCTTCTAATATGGTCAACCTACAAGTAGTAAATGTGTCATCACTTGGAACCCCGAAGATGGCGGTGTTGACTCTGCCTCGCTGGCTCTCAGATCAAACAGGCAAAGTCAACCACCCCCAGCGCTGTCCCCTGGGGCCGGCACGGGCGCCCTCGGAGCCGTCACACCTGAGTCAGGGACCGACCACCCTCCCTCCCTCCCACCAGCTCCTGAAGCTTCGGCCACGTGTACCCGAGTCACCGACCACAGCCCTCCCCACAGACGCTTCCTTCTCCCCCACTAACAAGGCTACACACCGTCAAGGAATTCTGCTCCCCTATTAGTGCTCATGACTCAGCTGCTTTAGCCCAGAATTCCCACCCCAATCTGCTGTGGCTGCCTTTTCTCAGTTCTCAGCGTTCTCAGAATTTATCAAGAACGGCTGTCACCCGGAAGGCCACGCTGCAAAATGGACATAAAAGCCACCACATCGCTGTGCCCTCCATCTGTTTGTCATTGGGATCCGGCTCGCCAGAAAAAGCAGACTAGAGGAGCCCTGAGAATTGCCGGCCGCACGAATCACCAAATGACTTGCTCCTCAGGCATCTAGCAGATTAAATTAAAAACTGACAACGCCTCCTCTGGCTTCCAGATCATAAATGTAGTTTCCAAGGTTTCTTTTCAATTTGCCATGGTTTAAAAACGTGGGATTCGGGATGTAACGATGATACACACGTTCACGCATCTAAAGGATTTCTTTCACATACAGTAAAATTCAAAATCTTAAGGGCAGGTCAGTGAGTTCCGACCAATGTTCTGACCACTTATAAGCAACTCCCACACCAAGATACGGAACATTCCCCATCACGAAGTCCTCTCGCCCCTTCCAATCTGCTCCCCCACCCATGCCCCCACCACCACCAGAGGCAACCCTGTTCCGATTCCTATCACTACAGATTGATTTTGCATATCCTGGAGGTTCACATAAAGGGAATCATAAAGCATGTGTCTCTCTATATCCAACTTCTTCCAGCCCACGCTTTGGAGGTCAATCCATGCTGCCATGTATCGGGGCTTACCCCTCCGCACGCCTGAGCAGAACGCACCACAATGCGTTGGGAATGCTTAGTAGTATTTAACACTCCTGGTTCTAATAACATTTTCAGAAATGCATCTCCAATTTTTGTTGGCATCCTTATTACCTGTCATCGTATTATACGATTCAAACATGGTTACAAGATCACAGTAGTCTTCCATAATACCTCACAAGATTTAATCCTGCTGAAATAAAAGTATTCCCTTTTCTAAAGTTTCTTTACTTATAAATTTTGGATGGGAGGGGGCAGAGAGTTGGGGGGAAAGCAGGACCCAGCTCCCTGGTCAGAGGCATATCTGATGCCACGACTGATTCTTCCTGTGCATTTCAGCAGTTTCCATGCAATAAAGTCCTTGCTGTTTGCACCCCTCTCTGCGGAGGGGGACGCCCTCTGTGGATATCCACTCTGCCCAGCACCTCTGCCGCCACCGAAAGCTAATTGAGCCCTGACAGATGCGCAGCTGTACGAGGAAAACGACGGGCAAGTAACCTGTGAGATCTCTACATCAGACAAACATGATTTCCTGTTCTCTTGAAGGTTTTTAGGGCCAAGCGTTGTTTTTCTAATGACCTTATGATTCCAAACATTCATCGTGCCACATGCTCTCAATGCTTGAGCCTTATATAATTCTAACTCCGCATGTGGGGTTTCTCCTAGCGGCAATGACCTAGGGCTGTGGTCGGCAAACTCATTAGTCAACAGAGCCAAATGTCAACAGTACAACGATTGAAATTTCTTTTGAGAGCCAAATTTTTTAAACTTAAACTATATAGGTAGGTACATTGTTATTAACTTAATTAGGGTACTCCTAAGGCTTAGGAAGAGCCAGCTCAAGGGGCCAAAGAGCCGCATGTGGCTCTCGAGCCCCAGTTTGCCGACCACGGACCTAGAGCAGTGGTCGGCAAACTGCAGCTCGCAAGCCACGTGCGGCTCTTTGGTCCCTTGAGTGTGGCTCTTCCACAAAATACTGACTTCTGCGCATGGGAGACGAAGTTTCAATAGCACTGTACGTGCGTGTCTGCACGTGGTATTTTGTGGAAGAGCCACGCTCAAGGGGCCAAAGAGCCGCATGTGGCTCTCGAGCCCCAGTTTGCCGACCACGGACCTAGAGCAGTGGTCGGCAAACTGCAGCTCGCAAGCCACGTGCGGCTCTTTGGTCCCTTGAGTGTGGCTCTTCCACAAAATACTGACTTCTGCGCATGGGAGACGAAGTTTCAATAGCACTGTACGTGCGTGTCTGCACGTGGTATTTTGTGGAAGAGCCATGCTCAAGGGGCCAAAGAGCCGCATGTGGCTCGCGAGCCGCGGTTTGCCAAGCCGCAGTTTGCCGACCACTGATAGGGCCTATGAAAGACTGAGAAGAAAAGCATCTGGGCTGGGAGCAGGCTTATTTACAAAGGCAGGGAGGTGCAGCTGCTGGCCAGGAGAATGGCACGGACACAGGGTCATCTGCAGCCAGGGCTTCTCTCAAAGAGAAAAGCTGAATGTATTCAGTCCCCAGACTTGCAGAGAAGGGCAGACGGTCACACCTGGCCATGCACAAGCATATATGCCTTCAAAAGCACCCCATCTTTCGATCAGAATTTATATGGCACACATGTGACTACGTCCTACAAACCCAAAAAGCATTCTGCATGTTACAGCATGAGACTGCTTTCCTTTTTGTACTAAATGGTCACCTTGCAATATATTTTTTAAAAAGGATGAGCTACATCTATGTTTACACCAATGAGAATATAATTAATAAAACTCCTAATGGGCCTAGTGGTTACAGTGCTATTTGTAAAATTTTACTGGTAGGCCACTTTTGGAAAATAACAACATGAAATTAAAATGGGAAAAAGAAATGATTAAAAAAGATTCAAAGTTACTTTTTTTTTTAAGAGGGAAAAAGATTAATTTAATAGTTTACATCTTCTGTACATGTAAACATTTATGATTATATAAAGATAGTAATGACATACACACACATACGCATATTAAAGCCTGAATTTCGTACAGATATATAGCTTGAGAAGGAGCATTTTAAAACATAAGTCTATCCCACCATATATGTGATAGATAAAAATGCAAATATTGTCCCATCCATCAGGTGAAAGTTATGAAATAACTTAGGAAACCTCAGTTTCCTCAGTAACCCATGACTTACATCAAAGTAGGACCCTGCGTGCTCTAATATCAGCTGAGTGGAATCAGGCTTATTTTTGCAGTAAGTGACGTACATCTGAAACTTGTCTGCCTATAAACAAAAAAGCATGAGAATATCACTTTCTAATGGCAGTAAGTCCAAATATGATCAACTTTTATATAGAAAAGAAGCTGTGTGGACAAAGGCTATTTAAGGCCCAAATTAAAGAAACCCTATGTTATAAATAAATCTACTAAAATGAGAAACACACCTCCAGCAGCCTCCCCTGACCCAGCACGCCGGGGTTGGGCACATGCTCTCTTCCCCCACGATGGCGTGTGGACACCTGGCAGTGCGCTTAGATGGCACGATCACAGGTCACGTGTCTGCCCCCTCTGGACGGGGAGACCCCCACCCCCACCCGGCAGGGCTGGGCACTCATGTTCAGCTGGGAATCCCCGGGGCCACACAGAGGTCTGGCACACTAAATGGTCTCTTTTAAATCACTGCTACTGCTAATAATAAGCTCATTCTGCATCAGTAACTAGCTGGGGAATGCAATTCTCTGAGACAAAGCCCATTTCTCTGTCTGCAGATTCCAGTAGAGTATGGTGACTGAAAAGAAATGGACAGCGTTCCTCCTAACTCCCTTCAAAGCCACCTAGTAACTGTGAACAAGAAGCTGAGGTTTCATTACCCAAGTAACAAAGCAATGCCCCACGTCCTCCGGCAACTGCTCGTATTTTTCCAGCTCCTTCAGGAATATGCTGCAAAGAATGAAAATGTTATCCTACTATGATGATGTTTTAAAACATTTCAGTAGTGAAATATGCCAGAAATTAGACCAAGCATACCGTGACCTCAGGCAATGCCTGAGTTTCATCATTTTAATCAAATGCAGTGAAAAATCTGTGCCCTCTAGATTTTGAGATTTAGCAGAATGTGCAGCTCTTAACTAGGGTCAGTTACTGTGACATTCAGCTCACTGGTTTAGCATTTAAACACTTTCTAATAGAAATTTTAACCTAGCGGCTCACTTTCGGGAAAGTGCTGTTTAGTAGTTAGAGGCATAATGTAGGGATGGAAATATTCAATTAGAAGAACCCCTTTACCCTGGCCAGTGTGGCTCAATGGTTGTTCACCGACCCATTCACCAGGAGGTCGCCGGTTCGATTCCTGGTCAGGGCACATGCCCAGGTTGTGGGCTCCATCCCTAGTAGGGGCCGTACAGGAGGCAGCCAATTGTTTCTCTTCTACTTTTTTTATAAATATATTTTTATTAATCTCAGAGAGGAAGGGAAAGGGAGAGAGAAACATCAATGATGAGAGAGAATCACTGACCAGCTGCCTCCTGCATGCCCCACACTGGCGAGCCTGCAACCCAGGCATGTGCCCCAACTAGGAATCGAACTGTGACCTCCTGGTTCATAGGTCGATGCTCAACCATGAACCACACCGGCTGGGTGAGCTTCTTACATCATAGTTTCTCTCTCTCCCCTTCTCCTGCTCTCTCTGAAAATCAATTTAAAAATGTTTTTTTAAAAAAGAAAAAGAACCCCTTTAGATGTTAGTGTCCTTTGTTGGGGCAGGGGCAGAGGAATGAGGAAGGTCCCAGGAATTCTGGCCCCACATCGTTTTTCCATAGACTACTGGCCACACAGACTTCTCCTACAAGAGCTTCTGCTACTTTTTAAAAAATATATATTTTTATTAATTTCAGAGAGGAAGGGAGAGGGAGAGAGATAGAAACATCAATGATGAGAGAGAATCACTGACCAGCTGCCTCCTGCATGCCCCACACTGGCGAGCCTGCAACCCGGGCATGTGCCCCAACTGGGAATCGAACCGTGACCTCCTGGTTCATAGGTCGATGCTCAACCATGAACCACACCAGCTGGGTGAGCTGCTACTGCTTTTAAAAAATTTCTTAGAAATGAACCCGTGTCCTCCTCTGACCAGTGGAAAGTGCTTCTCATTCTGGACAGACTGCACATCTGTTCCGTCCTCCATTCCCACTTCCTTCTTATCCAAAAAGACCGAACATTGCCCTAGCCAGTTGCTTAGTGGTTAGAGCCTCCACCTGTGGACTGAAGGGTCTCAGATTCGATTCTGGTCAAGGGCACATGCCTCTACCTCTATTAATCAATGTCCCCCCCTCTTTCTGTCTCTCCCCCTCCCTTCCAGTCTCTCTAAAAACCAATGGAAAAATATCCCCGGGTGAGGGTTAAAAAATAAATAAATAAATAAATAAATAAATAAATAAATAAATAAATAAATAAATAAATAAATAAATAAATAAATAAATAAATAAATAAATAAATAAATAAATAAATAAATAAATAAATAAATAAATAAATAAATAAATAAATAAATAAATAAATAAATAAATAAATAAATAAATAAATAAATAAATAAATAAATAAATAAATAAATAAATAAATAAATAAATAAATAAATAAATAAATAAATAAATAAATAAATAAATAAATAAATAAATAAATAAATAAATAAATAAATAAATAAATAAATAAATAAATAAATAAATAAATAAATAAATAAATAAATAAATAAATAAATAAATAAATAAATAAATAAATAAATAAATAAATAAATAAATAAATAAATAAATAAATAAATAAATAAATAAATAAATAAATAAATAAATAAATAAATAAATAAATAAATAAATAAATAAATAAATAAATAAATAAATAAATAAATAAATAAATAAATAAATAAATAAATAAATAAATAAATAAATAAATAAATAAATAAATAAATAAATAAAAAGATTGAACATCGCCTGTAATTGGAAACCTTTTCTTTCTTTTAACCCTAAGAAGTAACTTATGCAGCAGCCAATGACACAGCTCGAGAGGAGTTAGGGTCTCACGAAAACAGTTTTCAGTTTTCCGAACCTCATTTCTACCAAAAGTGAGCATAACTGTAAAGTTGAGCCTGTATTAAAATTGTGTTTAGAATGTCAGTCCTGCTGAAGAAAGCCTGGCAGGTTTTATTCAAATTTCGCTGAAACCTGTACTTGCTGCCGTGGGAAACCTTGACTGCCCATCAGGGACGGTCAGCACAGCCCCCGGCTCTCCAGGGCAACCGGCTGTGGCTCCCCGGACAGCCCACTCACTTGTTATGGAACTCGTAGATCTCCTGCATGTTCCCGAAAATGATGAGCTCCTTGTTCACGATGCCGGGCGGGATCTCCTCCACTCCGCTGGTCATTTCCCACAGGTAGGTCTGGCGGGAGGGAACAGGGATTAGACAAAAACTGACACCACACTTTCAAGACACCAGTATTTCTGACCTCTGTAGGATTGGACCCAAGTTCATGTATACCCGAAAATATGTCTTAAGAATAGAATCTTTTAGGAAAGCACGAAAAACTGGAAAAACAACAACAACACACACACACAAAACCCCTCAGTTGCTATAGTACTTGAGAACACTTCCTATACTTTTTGACTCTAAACTTATTCCGAGGTTTGAATTTTGGAATTAAGCTTCTCCACAAGGTGCAACAAATATTCATAGAACTACTGAGTATTAGTTGCCAATCATCATCAGTAGGTGCATCTCTCTGCAGCTGCTGTGAGTTCTATACAAAGGGCCCAGCGGCCCGGCCGCCATGTGACACACCGAGCGAGAGGGTTAACGCTGCATCAGCCCGTAATGAGCAGAAATGGAGCCAGAACGACACAGAGGTGCAACGTGACACTGGTTGCCTACGACACTTTAAATCTCAGAGCCCTTGACCGGAATCGAATCTGAGACCCTTCAGTCCGCAGGCGGAGGCTCTAAAAAGTGTGATTATTTTAAGAACTGCTAATAGGTAAGAATAAATGCAAGATTATACACAATCTAAGTAAACAAGCAAAAAAAACTTACTTACATCCATACACTCCCGGAGGTCCCTGACATAAGCCTTTTCAGTTTGAATTAGCTCAGCCATTATGAACCTGAAACACAGGAAGACAGCAAACAGTTAGTGCACAGCCAGGACACACTACCCACTTCTATGGTTTATGGAATAATAAAGTGGTTCAGAAATCATTAGTCATGTATTTTGGAGAATTCAATCGAGAATAGATAGAATGAGAGTATCTAGCCACCAAGTCGAAGGAAGAAACAATTTGGGACAAATTCTGTCGAGCTTCCCAGAGATCGGGGTTTCTCAGCTCAGCACTCGACACTCGGGATGGATAATGCTTTGCTGGGTGCCGTGCCTTGTAGATAGACGTTTAGCAGCCTCCCTGTCTCCACCCACCAGATGCCACAACCAAAAAAGCCTCCACACGCTGCCAATGTCCCCCAGAGCACACACTGCCCGACTGAAAATCACAGACTCAGAGCAATCTTTTGTCTTATTAGTATCCAGTACCGTTCACTAACGTTTAAACACCTCCCCTTGTTAGTCACTTCTTCTCCTTAGTATTCCCATCCTGGTCCACTGAGGACAAATGACACTAACTCGATGTGCCAGCCCCTACAAGATGGAAGTGCAGGGACAGGTAACGAGCGACTGCTGCTGAGGCAGGTGATGAGGGGACAGTGCACGCCTTATTAGTATCCAGTACCGTTCACTAACGTTTAAACATCCACCCCCCCCTTGTTAGTCACTTCTTCTCCTTAGTATTCCCATCCCGGTCCACTGAGGACAAATGACACTAACTCAATGTGCCAGCCCCTACGAGACGGGAGTGCAGGGACAGGTAACGAGCGATTGCTGCTGAGGCAGGTGATGAGGGGACAATGCACGCCGTGGAGTCTGAGCTGCAAAAACTAAGCATATTCCGACCAAGCAGATGTCACGCCATTTAACCTGAAAGCACCCACAGATGCCTGTTTGTCCCAGTGACATTCTCTTCCCTTTTTCAAGGGATCTGGCAGGTTCTGAAAGTCCGGCTTACTCTTTCCTGCGGGCAGACTTCCGTTTCTCCTCGTTAAGCTCGTGTGCGGCGTCGCGCAGCTTCACCTCCGACCCCGGGATGCTGGCTGGGATGATGTCCAGCTGAAGACTCTTACTCTGTGGAATAAGACAGCGATGAGTTCGGCGGCCTGAAGCGCACGCAGGACACGCAGAGCACCCTGACTGGTTCCGTTTGCACAGAGCCATTTACCGATTTGTTGGAATCTGAAGAAATCCCCAGGGCTTTCTCCAAAGAGGTCCTGTACTTCTCCATCCGCAGAGAGAAGTCTCTGTACCGCTTATCCACGGCAGTGACACATTTCTTTATCTCTGCCGCGTGGGCATGGCCCTTTTCACAAAAGCCGTCAGCCAGCTGGATCAACAGCTTCACCCTCTCTTTGGTTTGCTGCAAGAAACACACACAACAGGAAAGTATTGGGAGGCAAATGAACCCACCTGCAGAAACCAGCAACTGGGGCAACCTGCCTCCAGCTCAGCTCTGAACAGAGAACAAAGTGCTGGTGATAGAAGGTCAGAGGAACGCCCCACGTCCATCCAATTCGTCTCCCTGGTCCTAGACGAGCTACCTATTCTCAGCTCTTCGGCAACGAATGTCGTACCCACCTGCAGAAACCAGCAACTGGGGCAACCTGCCTACAGCTCAGCTCTGAACAGGGAACAAAGTGCTGGTGATAGAAGGTCAGACGAACGCCCACGGCCATCCAACTCGTCTCCCCGGTCCTAGACGAGCTTCCTATCCTCAGCTCTTCGGCAATGAATGGCGCTATGAAACCCGTGGATAAAAACAATCTAGACTTTCTGTCAACGTCTTCATCTGCTGGATGCTCAGCAGAAATCTGTAAATGCATAAGCACGCGTTCCCTCGGGACGCCCTCTGAATTCTGACTGTCCTTGAATGCGTGTGTGTTGGGCATGAAGACCTTCCCTGCTTTACGCATGTTTACTCTGCACCCGTCGGAGCAAAAGCTCCCCGAGGGCGGCAGCCCCCCGAGACGGGCTTCCTGTGCATCTGGGCCAGGAGCTCGCATGGCAGACGCTCACAAGATCCCTGCGGAGGAGACACGGGCCTCACACGTTCATGTCGGTTTCCCTTGCGGGAGACGGAGGAAAAGCCACGTCAGGGACTGGCCTTCTCTACAGGGGGATTTCAGACTTTGTTCCCTGTTTTAGAACTCCCTTTAAAAATGTCATTTCCTGGTATACGGGCCTAGGAAAGATCTTTCATTAGGTTAAGCATTACGTTTCTGACTTCATGTAAAGTTAAAGATAACCATCCAACATTGGTTCTATATAATAGCTGTAACTTCACTCAACCCCAACTTTCCAACCGATCTTTAGTCACATCCATTTCACTTATTCTCACAAGGGGCTTCCTTCAGTGTTCCCACGGGCAATGCCAACGCGTACAGTGACTCTTCAGCTGTGATAAGCTTTAACTGGAAAACCTTTATGACCAATGTTTAGGAGATTGATTTTTTAAATCCCCGAAAGAAAGGTCAGAGTTCAGAACCCAGATAGATTATCCTGGTCTGTCCAATAGAAGTTCTGAGCCAGAAGCCACCAGGCAACTGCCCAGTCAGCGCTAAAGATGCTCAGACTGCACACGAACCCACAACCTGGGGCGGCTGAGCACTTAGCACCCCGCCCCAGGCGGGCTCTTGCCTTTGGTTCTCTGCACAGGTGCCCTGATGCCTGCAGTGCTAGCCCGGCAAACTGCGGCTCTCGAGCCACATGCGGCTCTTTGGCCCCCTTAGTGTGGCTCTTCCTAAGCCTTAGGAGTACCCTAATTAAGTTAATAACAATGTACCTACCTATATAGTTTAAGTTTAAAAAATTTGGCTCTCAAAAGAAATTTCAATCGTTGTACTGTTGATATTTGGCTCTGTTGACTAATGAGTTTGCCAACCACTGTCCTAGATGTCCTCGTGGCTCCTGCAAGTCCTTGCTCCACCCAAGACCACCTTCTCCACATCCCGCCCTGCCCAGCCACCCTCCCCGCTGCTCTGCTGCTTCTGACGGCTTGCAGCACCTTCTCGCAGAATGCAACGTACTGATGACACTGCTGTCTGTCTCTTCTGTTAGAAGGTAACCGCCACGGGCCAGGGTGTTAGTTCTGCTTGCTAATATCTCCTGCACCTCCCTGTGTCTGGCACATAGTGGACAGTCACACAATATTTACTAAGAAAAATAAATGAACATTAGGTTCCTTATGCAAGTGTGTATATGCCTATAACTTTAATGGGAATGGAAGCTACTCTTAAGAGCATGAATACATATACTTCAAAAATATATGAAAATAAGCCCTGTCCAGTGTTTCTCAGTAGTTAGTGCATCAGCCTGTGGACTGAAGGGTCTCAGGTTCAATTTCCAGTCAAGGGCATATACCTGGGTTTCGAGTTCCATCCCCAGCCTAGATCGGGGCACATGTGGGAGGCAACCAATCGATATGTCTCTCTCACATCAATGTTTTTCTCTCTCTATTTTTCTCTCTCTGCCCCTCCCTCCTCCCTTTTTCTCCCCCCACCAAAAAAAAAAAAATCAATGGAAAAAATATCCTCTCGTGAGGATTAACAAAAAAAGAAAAAGAAAATTCAAGGAAATTAATTATCTCTGTGAAAAAAATCAATATTGTGAATTCATAAGCTGTTTATTGAAAAAGTCAGCAAGTTTCTAAGGCTTTCATCCTGTGAGAATGGGCTCCAGCAGAGTGGACTGAAAGGAGAGGATCTGCTAAAGCGGCCTCTGGCTTGTCGCCAGCAGGAGACCTTTCTGAAGATGTGAGACAAGCCTAGTTATAAACCAAGGATATAAGAAGTTCAAGTTTCCGATATGGAAGTGTAAATTCCAAAAGGAATTAAATTAGAAGCACTACTAAATTTAATATCACAGAGGATTAATATGGCTAATGCAGGATTTCCAAAAATTAGGTTGCCTCGGTCAGATTTCACTGCCGAGGGCCAAGACGTTAACCTGCTCAAAAGCACAGAAGAGTGGTGCTGTCCCACCATTGAGCACGGACCATGCAGGGGTTAAGAAAGCTATGTCGAGTTCTAAGAGCCGGGGACAGAGAAGTGGAGATAAAACAGACAATGCATTAAAACAAAACACAGCAAGAAATTTCAGGAAGATTTATGTACATGTCTACACACATCACAGAACAGACCCACAGCCAGCACGTAACACCGATAGGCTGATCCTGACTCTAAGAATGTGTTTTAAATGGTCTGAGTTTCATTGCAAATGAACAGAGTTGCGTCTTAGTGAAATGAACGGAGGCTTTGTGTCCATTGACACCCAGCCTTACAGTGCTAATCACTGTAACAACCGGGCTGGAAGGCTGCCTGTCACAGGAAGGATCCTCTATATAACAGAAGAAAAACGATTTCTTGGAAGACATGCGACAGGGTGACAGAAGGCACAAGAACGTAGCCTAGTGTCCACAGGAGAAGCTAAAGGACACCTCCAAGCACCAAAGCAGGCACTTTCTATGAAATGAAAGGAAAGCAGAAACTGAAGGGAAAAAGCTGCTAAGAAAAAAAAGTGAGAGATGGTTTTTCAAAACAGACCAGTTCCTCTCATCAATACATCCAATGAAAGAAACAGCTTCTGCATATTTGCGAAACAGAAAGGTCAGATGTCACCTATGATTTTAGATGCTTAAGAAAAAAAATACAGGGGCAAAAAAAAATGCCTGTTATTGTTACTGCTCATTCTTCTAATGATCATACTCCAAATTTGAGGAAAAGGAAAGTTAGGAACAATGAAAAAATCCTCCTACACTCCATTGGTGGAACTAAGCTGCCAAGCTCCTCACCCTGTCCTGTGCACGGCGCCCCTGGGGTTGTGCGAACGGCCTGCAGAGGGGAGCGCTGCTGAAACTCTCAGCCAGAGAAAAGGAACAAACTCACATCTACCGCTCGGTGCTATCTTAAGTATTTTCTACAGACCTTTATTCATAACCAAAGGATATTCAGAGAAACAAATAAAGGTCGTGTAGCGCGCATAAATAACTAATTTTCTATCCAACTCTTAATGCAAATGAGGATTTCACAGCTGGAGGTGCGCTGTACCTGGAGGAAGGAAGACCCGGTCGGTCCTTACCTGCAGAGGCAGGCCCGGCCGGCTCTCCTCTTGGTGCCCAAGGCCCCGCTGTCATGGTGAGGCTATCCTCGCCTGAGCCTGCCCTCCCCAATGCTCACGGTGCCCACAGAGCACCCGGCCTCTTCGCCAGCCCTGCCGTGGTCGGTTCTGTGGCTCCACTAGACTAGATGCTTCTCCAGAACAGAGACCAGGGCTCCCAGCACCCCGATGCTGCGTGAAAGGAAGTAACTCAGAGCTCGGGCCCAGGAAGGGAGGGTGGGCTGGGAGCAGAAGACTGGGAAGAATAGGAGGAGGAGTCGAAATTGTTACAGAAAACGAAAAAAAAGTACAAATAAACATAATACAAAGTAGCTGCCTTCACCCCAAATGATTAAAAAATACCTCTCTGATATGTCTTCAAAGCCAAGTGAAGGGTCACACACACAACGAAATCAATCTTTTTACTTTACAGGGATACTTCTTTTTAACCAAAAATATTATTTAGGTTGATCATCTATTTTCTGCTCTTGAATTTTTAGTTTTTTCTAAAAAGTCAAAATGTATCATCAAAATATATCAGCACTTCTGAAGGTATTATAATAAAGGTATATTCAAAAACTCTGAAAAACAGAAGGAAAAACACCACCGGTTGAGAAGGAAACTGAGAATCTCAGAGCGTTCTGAGGCCTTTGCAGGCCAATGTGTAGACTCTTATATATTTGCTTAAAAATTAATCTGTACTCATCTATACTGCAGCGGCCATAAAGGTGTATTTAGTTGTATTTTGATTTTTAGGAGAAAACTGAAAATGCACCCCCCACCCCCCCAGTTTTATAAAACCACGGACAACCTACTGGGAACACAGACTGAGCAGACAATGCTACTGTAACAATTTTCACCAGCTCAGGCGGAAGGAAAACACCCACAGCACACAACCAAGTCCAACTGGCAACACCAAACAGTGCTTCATAAAACAGCAACTACTCAGAACGCCTGAGGAAAGAAATCAGAAGAGAAGTCGAAAGGAAGGGGACAGGAAGTACTTGCAGAAATCAGAGGACCAGCAGCCACAGGTAAATGAGGGGAAGCTGAGGGGCCCGTGTGAACGGCAATAGGAAGTATCACAAACTCATGTTCAACGATCATGTGGGTCACCCTCTTCTCGCTTCATAGTGTGTTTCAAATGATCTATTTGAGAACTCCCTTATTTACCCAGAGTACCCTGCTCGAGGTGATTCTGGAAAACCCCAACAGACGTGCAGGCCGCTGACAGGCGCGCACAGCAGATCTGCACGCACCTTGGCGGTTATCTGGAACTCCTCGTGCTCCTTCAGCAGCTCCTGGGTGTGCTGGATGCTCGAGCCCGTGGAGGTGTGCGTGGACAGGTAGAACTCCCCGTTGTCATGGATCCATTCTAGAGCCTGGACAGAGAGGGAATGGGAAATGTTCACGGCTGAGCAGTCCAAGTTCCTCAGTATCTCATCTAAATGCGAAGTCTCAGGCCTCGGCCAGCCCACATCAGGGAGCAGCCCCTCAAAAACAGACCAATTCCTGAAATAAGGGTAATTCTAAAACTGCGGGGGGGTGGGGGGGCGCGACTGACATGCTAGAAAGTTGTAATTGTGTCACAATAAAAAGGTCAAGAGTTTCTTATAACCAGGAACCTAAAGTCACAATAAAAGTGTCAGAAAAGAAACCACACGCACTGCGAAGGTGTGGGTGAGGGGGTGGGCTGAGACCCTCACGCTGTTAAATATGGGGACGTTCATGTCATGGGAACTTCATACCCCACGGAGAGTCTAACCAGAAGAACAGGAGCACAGATGCAAACTCCCAGCTTTCCAAAGCACAACTTTAGCCCTTTCTTCCTGTTCCTGGATCCGGTGAGTGCCCAGAGGGGCACCCACTTCACTGGTTTGGGGGCATCCGCGTTGTGCCTGAGCGCCACGGGGAGTGGGCAGAGATCGTGCTTGGAGAGCAGGGGCCAGCCAGGCTCAGGTTGCCACAGAACGACAGTTCTAACTCCTCTGCTCTTTCCTGGCTTAAGATGGAAGCCAGTGTTTTCCTCCCGTTTTCATAGGCCTGAAGTGCAATCAGACTTATTTAAACACACACATCTGAGTGAGCGAGCGGTGTGTGGAAAAGCAGCATGAAAGAGTCGAAGCTTTTACATGTTTCCTTCTACTCTCAAGTCATCCACTGCCGGGCTGGTATTGGCACAGAAACACCCTGCCTCTACTGGGTACATTTCCAGCGTTTTAGAAGAAAAATAAGAAAACCAGGACCGATCCTTCCCATGCAGCTCCCTGGCTGGGATGTACTTTTGGTGTACATCCAGGGCCCGAGCTCCCATCCCATCTCGGCAACAAGGTTAACCGGACTCTGAATGGAGGCAAAAAGCCACTTCTGCCCATTTGTTCAAAGGCCCTTGGTTTCTCCATTCACACAGCTAATCGTCCAGAGTGCCTACGATGGAGTCGTGCAAGGAGGCACCAGGGAATGAGAAGCTTGGGCCCTGCAGCTGCCGACCGACCGGAAAGGGAGAGAGAGGAGGAAAGATACACAGAAGACAAAGCGGGAGTGGGAGGCCTTGCTCAGAAGGCAGTCAGCAGAGGAGGTGTCAACGCTGGGACCTGAGGCTGAAAGGGATGGGCCGGGGAGGGATGGAGAGACCCAGTGCAGGCGGAATAGCGGGGGGGGGGTGTACACGCAATGGTCCCAAGCTGAGGGAGCTGGTCCCTCATGGGGAGAGGCTGGGGGTGAGGGAGCTTGTCCCCCATGGGGAGAGGCTGAGGGTGAGGGGGCTGGTCTCTCATGGAGAGAGGCTGGAGTGAGAGAGAGGGAGCTGGTACCCCTCGGGGAGAGGCTGGGGGGGAGGGAGCTGGTCCCTCATGGGGAGAGGCTGGGGGGAGGGGGCTGGTCCCCCACAGGGAGAGGCTGGAGTGAGGGAGAGGGAGCTGGTACCCCTCGGGGAGAGGCTGGGGGTGAGGCTGTGGAGGGCAGGGGCTGCTGTGTAGGAAGAGATGGAGTGAGTGGAAGGAACAACACCAATTAGCAAACTGGCTCAGAGGTTTAGACAGGACATGGCATGACGGCTCTGGTGGGAGCGAAGGGTAGATCTGACACACACAGGATGTTTGCACCCACAAGACTGATGAAGGGGTGAAGGTGGGGCGATGAGGGGAAGACAGGAATCAGGAACCACACACCCTGTAAGATGAGGGGGGCGTGGGGGACAGTTCTGGCAAAGAGGAGGCTGGGGGGACCGGTCTGGATGCCAGAAATGGAGGTGAGGGCTGGGAGATAGCAACCGAGAAGAGAAGAGAGAGAAACAAGAGCAAATCCCAACTGAGCCCTGGGAAAGTCAGCCTTCAGAGGCGGGCTGAGGAGGAGGGGCAGCGAGCCTGGGGCAGTGGTGGGCAGGATGCTGGGGGGAGGGCAGGGGGTCACCTCTCCACCACCCTCCAGTGAGGCACCACCCAGTGACCCTCAGGGCGCCATCCTGAGACCTGATCCAGCCGGGGTCTCAGGACAGATTCTCCAGGAGCGATGGATACCTACTATCGGTACAGAACCTGACAGGTCTGCGGGGCCTGTGGGTTGGCACTGCTCAGGGCCTAAACTTAGTGATTTTATAATTGGCAAACAAGCTGGGCTTTAGGAAAAAGCAAGACAATTTCTCTGTCAAGGGAATTATTTACAATTTTGTTCTGTGTAGCTGAGTGATTCCTTGTCTTTCAACAGACACATAATAAAGAGATGTGGGAAAGAATTATGAAACAATCTCTAATTAGGAACAAAACCACACTGCCGTAAGTCTCAAACATGGCTGAACTGTTTTTAAATAAGATGGTAAGCAGACATAATTTAACCATTAAAGACATTACTGCTTCCCGCCTCTGTTGGGAATATGATGACTACACCTGCACAGTCAGCCGAGATGAGAACAGGCCGAGTCAGGATGCCAGGTGAGCGGACCGCACCCCCCAGCTCCTCTGCCTCTGGGGACCAGGCCACCCACTGCGAGACGAACATTTACCCACAGGGAACAAACGTGCTCCCTAAGAGGAAGCCTGTGCGAGGAAGACACCATCTTTCTTAGGCTGTAAGAGTTCACTAAATGCCTGGCCTGCGACAGCACATAGTCGGTGGACAGGTGGATTCAGAAGGCGCCTAGTCCGGGTCTGACCTGGAGAATGTGAGCGGCCCTACGGGTTCTTATGCTACCGTGAAGGCCCAAGAGGAGTGACGGATCCTGTGTGTCCGAGTTAGGGGTGCGACAGGCTTTCACCCAAAACGACCTTCCATGACTGACGTTCGGGCAGAAGCACTTTCTCCCAAACGGACTTCAGAGAGGGGGACACTTCCCACGTGCCCTCCAGGTGTCTCTGCATGAGCCAAGTGTAGGAACGTGGTTGGCTACACTGAATTGTTAGACATTCTGTCACATTTCTTACGTTATTTTTGCTCGATTTATCTGAAGAATGAACTCTTACCTTGTACACATAAATACAGTGATAGAAAAAGGCACCCACCACAGTATTTACACAAACACAGAGCCTAGATTCCATGACGATTTTTAAATCATCTTCTCTCACTTGTATTTGCTGTCTGAACCATGGGTACTGACAGCGGAGACAAGCTCAGGGCCACACTCCAAGAGACACGCCTTATGAGGCTGTGGGGTTTTCTCTTCATGGGGAGAGGCTGGGGTGAGGGGGCTGGTCCCCCACAGGGAGAGGCTGGAGTGAGGGAGAGGGAGCTGGTACCCCTCGGGGAGAGGCTGTGGGTGAGGCTGTGGAGGGCAGGGGCTGCTGTGTAGGAAGAGATGGAGTGAGTGGAAGGAACAACACCAATTAGCAAACTGGCTCAGAGGTTTAGACAGGACATGGCATGACGGCTCTGGTGGGAGCGAAGGGTAGATCTGACACACACAGGATGTTTGCACCCACAAGACTGATGAAGGGGTGAAGGTGGGGCGATGAGGGGAAGACAGGAATCAGGAACCACACACCCTGTAAGATGAGGGGGGCGTGGGGGACAGTTCTGGCAAAGAGGAGGCTGGGGGGACCGGTCTGGATGCCAGAAATGGAGGTGAGGGCTGGGAGATAGCAACCGAGAAGAGAAGAGAGAGAAACAAGAGCAAATCCCAACTGAGCCCTGGGAAAGTCAGCCTTCAGAGGCGGGCTGAGGAGGAGGGGCAGCGAGCCTGGGGCAGTGGTGGGCAGGATGCTGGGGGGAGGGCAGGGGGTCACCTCTCCACCACCCTCCAGTGAGGCACCACCCAGTGACCCTCAGGGCGCCATCCTGAGACCTGATCCAGCCGGGGTCTCAGGACAGATTCTCCAGGAGCGATGGATACCTACTATCGGTACAGAACCTGACAGGTCTGCGGGGCCTGTGGGTTGGCACTGCTCAGGGCCTAAACTTAGTGATTTTATAATTGGCAAACAAGCTGGGCTTTAGGAAAAAGCAAGACAATTTCTCTGTCAAGGGAATTATTTACAATTTTGTTCTGTGTAGCTGAGTGATTCCTTGTCTTTCAACAGACACATAATAAAGAGATGTGGGAAAGAATTATGAAACAATCTCTAATTAGGAACAAAACCACACTGCCGTAAGTCTCAAACATGGCTGAACTGTTTTTAAATAAGATGGTAAGCAGACATAATTTAACCATTAAAGACATTACTGCTTCCCGCCTCTGTTGGGAATATGATGACTACACCTGCACAGTCAGCCGAGATGAGAACAGGCCGAGTCAGGATGCCAGGTGAGCGGACCGCACCCCCCAGCTCCTCTGCCTCTGGGGACCAGGCCACCCACTGCGAGACGAACATTTACCCACAGGGAACAAACGTGCTCCCTAAGAGGAAGCCTGTGCGAGGAAGACACCATCTTTCTTAGGCTGTAAGAGTTCACTAAATGCCTGGCCTGCGACAGCACATAGTAGGCGGACAGGTGGATTCAGAAGGCGCCTAGTCTGGGTCTGACCTGGAGAATGTGAGCGGCCCTACGGGTTCTTATGCTACCGTGAAGGCCCAAGAGGAGTGACAGGGATCCTGTGTCCGAGTTAGGGGTGCGACAGGCTTTCACCCAAAACGACCTTCCATGACTGACGTTCGGGCAGAAGCACTTTCTCCCAAACGGACTTCAGAGAGGGGGACACTTCCCACGTGCCCTCCAGGTGTCTCTGCATGAGCCAAGTGTAGGAACGTGGTTGGCTACACTGAATTGTTAGACATTCTGTCACATTTCTTACGTTATTTTTGCTCGATTTATCTGAAGAATGAACTCTTACCTTGTACACATAAATACAGTGATAGAAAAAGGCACCCACCACAGTATTTACACAAACACAGAGCCTAGATTCCATGACGATTTTTAAATCATCTTCTCTCACTTGTATTTGCTGTCTGAACCATGGGTACTGACAGCGGAGACAAGCTCAGGGCCACACTCACCAAGAGACACGCCTTATGAGGCTGTGGGGTTTTCTCTTCAGAACAAACTGTTCATGACAAGGCCCGACTGTTTGGATCATTAGAAAGTGGTTGTGAACCTGCTGAATGGAGGTCTGAATACAGGGTGGAGGGCAGGGCGCCCAGGGCGACTGACCTGCTTGGCACTTCGTTCAAAGACCACGTACTGCTGGCACTGGTCCAGCCGCCTCTTCCTCATGGTCCAGTAATGCAATACCCTGTTCTCCCGCTGGAAGAGTTCATTCAAGATATCTGAGAGAGCGCAGAGGAAAGCATACAATCAATGAAACCTGCAGATAACTCTCGTTTGCAACTTTTCCTGATTTATATTTTTACTTACTTTAACAAAACAGTCAATGCCAATATATATTACGCCTTTTCTCCCTATGTATATTCTTCAACTTTATTGAATAAACTAGAGGTCCCTCGGCCTGGCCTGAGGGGATCGGGCTGAAACCGGCCTGGTGTATGGATTCGTCCAGGGTGTGTCCGGCTCTTCTGACCCAGTCCCAATAGGCTAGCCCCAGCAGCAAGCTAACCTACTGGTCAGAGTGTCTGCCCCCTGATGGTCAGTGTGCATCATAGCAACTGGTCGAATGGTTGGTCGAACGAACGGTTGGGCACTTAGCATATTAGGCTTTTATTATATAGGATTACCAATCTGTATATTTAATATTTTGTTACTAAGCTAAGATAATGAGTCAGAGCTTTAATACTGTGAAATGAACCTTAAAGTGAAGCCCGGGATAGGGTTTCCAGGCAATCTCGTCCAGCCCCTCCCCCCGCTGTCACTCGCGCCTCCGGGCTGACTCACTTTTCACTTGCTGCTCCGGGGCCTTGACGTGCGTCACCATGCCCGGCATGCTCACACTGTTCCTGTGCAGGTACTTCAGGAAGACGTCTGCATTCCTCCTGGCGAGCGTGCAAGCCTAGGCACAAGGGAGCAATGTGCTGTTAAACCGACTTACGCAGACATATCGAGTCCACAACATCAGGTGGCGCTCACACACGTCTTTACTGAAAATGTTCACCTGGCCAACGTGTGTTCATAAACGGAAGGAACCAAAATTCTGCGACCCTCAAGATGCTTTTTTGGGATACTGATGTGAGGCTGATTATTATTATTATTATTTTTAATATATTTTTATTGATTTCAGAGAGGGAGAGGGAGAGAGATAGAAACATCAAAGATGAGAGAAAATCATCAATTGGCTGACTCCTGCATGCCTCCTACTGGGGATCAAGCCCGCAACCCAGGCATGTGCCCTTGACCGGAATCGAATCTGGAACCCCTCAGTCTACAGGCCGACGCTCTATCCACTGAGCCAAGCCGGCCAGGGCATGAGGCTGATTATTAAGAAACAAAAGACTCAGGAAGAACCTTTGACACCGCCCCCCCCCCTCCGCCCCTTTCCTGCCCAAGAGATCCAGACAGAGAAACCTGCTTCAGGAGGAGATCTGGGATGCTCCCCCCTTAGCCGAATCTGAATGAAATATGGCAAACAAGAGGGCCGAGTCCCCAGCAAGGACCTGCCTGCCGGGTTATTCTGCTCTTCCTCAACTACCTACACATCGCCCATTCTCACTTCTGAAAGCTAATACCCCATTCCCCCCTCTTGCTCCTCTGTCCAAAAATGTCTTATCTATCCAACGCTGCCTCACTCACTTTGAAATTTTCATGGATTTTATCCTGCTTATGTGAATTCCCCATGCACACATATTAAATTTTTATTTCCCCCTGTTAATCTGTCTCTGTTAATTTGGTTATGAGCCCAGCCAGAAATACTTAGAAGATGGCAGAAAAAGTATTATTACTTGTTTTAGCCCCTACAAAACCAAATAAGTAATTTCATTAATGTATTAAAAAACAAGAGTGACCTGGCCGGTTGCTCAGTGGTTAGAACGTTGGCCCACGGACCAAAGGGTCGCAGGTTCAATTCCCTGTCAAGAGCACATACCTCAGTTGCAGATTCAATCCCCAGCTTGGGTTGGAGCATGAGCAGGAGGCAACCAATCGATGTGTCTCTTTCACATCAATGTTTCTTTCTCTCTCTGACTGTCTCTCTCTCTTTCTCTCTCCCCCCTCCTCCCTCCCTTCCAATCTGTCTAAAAATCAATGGAAAAAATATCCTCAGGTGAGGAATAAAAAAGAAGAAAAAAAGAGTTAAGTAAGGGGAAAAGGATATAAATATAAAATCAAAGCAGTTAAGAAAAACCCCCACATTAATTATATTTGAAGAGGAAATATCTTGCACAGTTCCTGTCCCAGATCTGGAATTAAATGGTACTGAGACCACAATCTGGGCGTGAGGAGTGCACGACATCATTGGGCTGGTCATTGTGTCTAGGTCTTTCCTGGAGATGGGAGCTAGCACAATTTTTTTAAAATTAGGAAATATACCATGAGTCTCTACTGAGAGTCTAAAGTAAGCTGTCATACCAAATACCAAGGAAGCTGCTGAAACTGCTGGAGTCACGTTCAAAGGACATCTGCACCACCTGGCCTGAAGGGGCTCCCCCTAGGGGACAACTTGAATATAAAAACAAAATAAATGACTCCAATGGATTGAAGCATACCAGATACATTACAATCCATGATGATGGTAAAAAAAGTAACAAAACCACAAGAAAAAACAAATGAAGTGTATGTAGAAGCTGCTAAGGGAACAGCTCATTATTCTGAAAATGGCAAGCAAAGGGAAAGAGTCAAGCATTTACCATGCCTTCTCTGCACGGACTCTATTTTAGATTAACAAAATAGCTCAGGGGTACTTACTAATTCTAGCTAATTGAGGAGAAGGAATGACAGAATACCACTGTTCTGCAACTGCTAATGAGCAATATTACCACTGGTACTAAACCCATGAGGTGAGAGGCTGGTGGGGAAGAGCTGGAGGCACCGTGTTTGAAGCACTGACAAATTCTCATATTGTAGAGACAGGAAGAAGTGGACCTTATGTGGCTCCTGATGTAACACATGGGAAATGCAAGCACCACCCACTGGGTGTGCCAAGCACACTCACGCATGCACACACTCACACTTGAAGCTGACCAGGGCTCTCAACATAACTAACAGAAATTCAGAGCATCCAGGATGGTGCTAAATGACTCCACAGGACACAATGACCAAATCTGGAAAGCGGGAAAACACCACAGTATGAATAACTTATTTCTTCAATTAATAAATGGTAATGAAAGGAAGGGTGGTATTTATATGAAGAGACATACAAATCAAACCAATATTTGGACTTGTTTGGATCTTAATGAAAAGGTATTTGTGAGACAATCAGAGAAATTTGAATGCTTTGATTCTACATGAAATAAGTTACCATTAATTTTTAAGATTTGATCATGGCATTGTGGTTGTTTTAGAAAAGTACAATTTAATGTGTCGATACTTACTAAACTATTTGCAGATAAAATGATGTAATATCTGGAATTTAAAACAATCCAGTGAAGATGGGCACTGCCCATAGGCTGATAATCACTGAACCTGGGTGAGATGCATACGATTCGTTCTTTATTTTGTACACATCTTTAAACTTACACCACAAAATGTTTAAAGACATCCAATGCAAAAACACTATAGAATTCTCGTGAACAAAGGAATCAGAACAGGCCTCTGTTTTATCATTTCACCTAAAAATCTTTCTTAATTAATATAATTAAGTAGACCAAGATGGCGGCATAGGTAATCACCTATACCTGCTGCCTCTCACAACCACATCAAAATTATAACTAAATGGCAGAACAACTACCACCCAGAACCACAGGAAAGCTGGCTGAGTGGAAGTTCCACAACTAGAGAGGTGAAGAAAGCGCATTGCGACCGGTAAGAGGTGCAGAGGCGCGGAAAGTGCTAGCACCTGGATGTGCTGTTCTTTAAACCGGGAGGGAGATACAAGCTCCCGCTTGCCCTGAATTACAGTGACAGGCAAGACTCTGGGGGACCCAGACACATACGGGGAGAAACTGGACTGTCTGGCATTGGGACAGGAACGTGAGGGCAGCTTACTCTTAGAGGTGCTTGCAGCAATCATTGTTCCTGCACAGGTGCACGGGACGCGGAGAACCAGGGACTTCTCTGGTTCAGGGAAGCCATTGCTGTTTGCTCCGCCCTGGTGATTCCCAGAGACCCGCCCCACCCAATTTACAACTCCACCCTAGCTGTGCGCATTGGCTTTTGCATATGAATGGCCTGTCTTTTCGTCTAAAACAAACTGCAGCTGGGTCAGAGAGCCCCAGAGATTCCAAAAGAAGGCCTACTACCTGGCAGCAGCAGCAGCCTTACTTCACAGCTGGACCTCGTCTGGGCACTTCCAAACTCCATACAAAGAGGAGGAATCTGCAGATGTATCTGTAGCTCCTGCTGGGCGGCCCCAGACAGTGGCTGACCTTGCACTTCCTTGGAGATGATAATGGATTACAACTTTTCACATCCATAAGAGACACACTCAAGGGGCAGACTCAGTGAGCACCAAAGCCCTACTGAATCAAGTCCTGCCCCATAAGGGTGTCTCCTGCGCAACAGATCTTCCAGTGTAGACACAGCTGGTCACCACAGCCTATTGGCCTGGAGGTCAATTCCTCCCAGTGATACCAACAGCAATCAAGGATTAACTACAACAAGACTGTGCAAACATCCCACAAAGGGGTGCACCAAGAGCATCCACCTCAGGTGACTGGGGAGGCTGAGCCACTGGGCCCTATAGAACACCAACCACACAAGGCCACACTATCAACTCAAGTAGACTTAGCAGCTACCCAGTACATAGAAACAAACACAGGGAAGCAGCCAAAATGCGAAGACAAAGAAACAAGTCACAAATGAAAGAAATGGATGAAAGCAAAATACTGGATATAGAGTTCAAAACTACAGTTATAAGGTTACTCAAGAATCTTCTAGAAACCTCTGAGAAATTTAGTGAGACCCTCAAGGATATGAAAAGGACCAATCAGAAATTAAGCATACACTGACTGAAATAAAGAATAATATACAGAGATCCAACAGCAGACGAGAGGATCCCAAGAATCAAGTCAAAGATTTGAAATACGAAGAAGCAAAAAATACCCAAATGGAAAAGCAAAAAGAAAAAAGAATCCAAAAATATGAAGACAGTGTAAGGAGCCTCTGGGACAGCTTCAAGCGTACCAACATCCGAATTATGCGAGTACCAGAAGAAGAGCAAGATATTGAAAACATATTTGAAGAAATATTGACAGAAAACTTCCCCTAACTGGTGAAAGAAATAGACTTACAAGTCCAGGAAGTGCAGAGAACCCCAAACAAGAGGAATCTAAAGAGGACCATACCAAGACACATCATAATTAAAATGCCAAGGGCAAAAGACAAAGAGAGAATCTTAAAAGCAGCAAGAGAAAAACAGTTAGTTACCTACAAGGGAGTACCCATACGACTGTCAGCTGATTTCTCAACAGAAACTATGCAGGCCAGAAGGGAGTGGCAAGAAATATTCAAAATGATGAATAGCAAGAACCTACAACCAAAATTACTTTACCCAGCAAAGCTATCATTCAGAATT